GAGCAGTCTTTAGGCTTGAATGATATCCAACCTAATGAGGTAATATATGGTTGGAGAGATTGGAAAGCTGCTGCAAGAAGCAGGGCGGATTGAAGTATTTATGACTGGTGAAGACTGTTTTGCTAGTGGGATGCCTTATCGTTTGGCACTTAGTTGCTTTGTATGGCAGAATGTACATATTACACATATGTCTGCCAACCTAAAACTGTTTGAAAGGGAGATCATCAAAGAATGTCCAAACCAAGCAAGAAACAAATATAAAGAATCTGGTGAGTTTGTAGTGGGACTTGTGTTCTATGTCCTCCATTTTTTTTTTTTTTTTTGTATAGTAATTTTTTGTTGTTGCACTTGCAGATATGATTGGCATTACAAAAGTTCTCCGATCAACCGTTAGATCATTAGAAACTGCATATTTTGGTACAGCAGGACAATTCACCTTACTATATGGATAACAAAATCAGATTTGAGTTCAGATGTAATGTGAATCTTCAAGTAATTGCTGTTAAGGATGACCTAGGTATATGGTGTGTATGGATAAAATTGTAATGCAGAGGTGCAGACAAAAACAAGCATAGTCATTCTATGCATACTTTTCTCATGTAATTTGAAGCCTTAATATACAAGTAAACTTTTTTGAGATAAAAAAAGGTTGCTTTGTATCATAGAAGGAAGTGTGAAAGGGAGAAAAATGGACAAAATGTACAAAACATATTTTTAGGATAGCTCCCTCAAAACCACACACACCCCAAGTTTTGCACTTGTGCTAAACTATTAGCCATGGAATTCACCTTTCGAGGGTTGCAACGGAGTTGCAGCTGAATGCTGGCGAAAATTTCTCTGATTTCGTTTAACAAATGACCCAACTGCCAAGGTCTGTCTGTTATTCGGCATCATGGAATGACATTAGCCGAGTTCCCTTCTTGGCAAAGTGAGATCTGGGGGTGCTTTGAAATGGGTGATAACTTTTCCTTCGACAGAATTTTGATTGAATGGCTTGATGCCTTTTCATTCTGATTTCCTTGAATATATAGCTGAATATACAATAATTAAAGGCTGATTTGTCTCTACCTACAGCTATACTAATTTACAGAGATTTAAGGCTGATTTATCTCTACCTACAGCTATACTGATTTACAGAGAGTTAAGGCTGATTTATCTCTACCTACAGCTATACTGATTTACAGAGATTTAAGGCTGATTTATCTCTACCTACAGCTATACAATCTTCTTATGGAAAGATAATATGAATACAAAATAAATAGGTTGTACAAAATAAATGTTTGCTCTATATGGCAACAATGGGAACGTCCAAGAAGATTCTCACTCTGTCTGTCTGATGAGATTGCATCCTCGAATGCACCAGGATTTAGAGTGCCGACATCTTGGGGAGGATTGAAGAATTGGTCGAAGTTAGTTTGCATGTAATGACTCTGAAACCATTGATGGCTAACACCCAAGAGGAGAAAACATTCAGGATATGGCATTGCAATGCCTCAAAGGAAGACTCTTACTATTTGTTTCAGTTCTTTCCAATATGCATCACCACATTAAAAGAATAGATAGCGACCTTCCATTCCTCGAATACGTTTTTACTTCCTTTAACATGCCCCCTCACAGTTCACATCAAACCTATTGGACTTGATGTTTGGAAAACACAGACATACCTGTACCGTGCTGAAAATCCTGAAATTTAATAAATTATAATGGGGTTGACAAGAGTCGAACACTAGACCACTTGGTCAAACAGACTCTGATCAAGGTTCAAAGTATCAATATGATACGAATTTCGGCCTTATCGTATCGGTACTTAAAAATGGCCGAAAGACTTTTTTTTTTTTAGTTTTTTTTTCAAACTTTGTTTTTTTTGGAAAGATTATAGGCTGTTTTTTATTATTAAAAAAATGGGGGTCCAAGACTTTTTTTTTTAGTTTTTTTTTTCAAACTTTGTTTTTTTGGAAAGATTATAGGCTGTTTTTTATTATTAAAAAAATGGGGGTCCAAAACACCTGGAAACAGGCGTTTTCGACCGTATCGTTTGTGAAAGATACGATACGATACACCCCGATACTTTGATACCGTCTTAAGGAACTGTTCAACCTAAAAGCTTAAGTTGTTAGGTAAGGTCCTTGAATACGTTTTTGTTCTCTAATCACCAGCCAAATCAAAACAAATGCTCAGTGTAATTGTTTGAATTTATTCACATTCACATTGTAGAAAATGGATGGCACACGAAAAATATTCTTATTATTTACATCGATAAAGGGTAAAAACAAAGAAACAAATGCAGCCTTAAAGGCATGAAGTGGAAACAAATGGTAAAGGTGCTTGATCTGCAGTATATTAGACCCTCTCCCTTCATGTTAAGACTCCAAACAACAAACTTCTTAGTTTGATCTGATCTTGATCCCTCCTTTTCTTGATGTGAACCAACTTGGGAAATGTGAGAACTCTTAACTGAGCTTTCTAAAAATAGTAGTATCTGTTACAGTGGCATTGTGTTTTGAGTTGATCAATACAAATGTATGAGATATATGTCGTGTCACATCATATATAGATGTCATTTTAATTAGAGAAATGCATGTTTCTAAGAAACATCAATTTGATGTTTTAGGTAGTGCCAACACCTGATTTTTGCATGGTCCTCTATCTGAACCCCCAGCTCACCCCCAAACACCAATCAAACCATTTTGACCTTGCCGAAACCAAAAGAATCCAAAGAACCCAAATCTCAACCCCAAAATCCCTAAAATCCATTGTCGAACCCCACCTCATACCCTAAATTACCAAAATACCCCCAACCAAATGCCCAAAATACCCTTTGACCAAAATCCCAAATTAACCCCTTGATCAAATTCCCAAAATACCCTTGACCAGGTTACCCAAATTACACCTTGGACCAATTCCCAAATTACCTCAACCCATACCTTAAATTACCAAAATACCCCTTTGATCAATTACAAAAACACCCCTGACTTAATTCCCAAAATTACCAAAATACCCTTCATTTGCCCCTTCTTTCCAAATGCCTAAAAATACCCTTAACCAAATTACCAAAATACCCCTGACCAAATGCCCAAAATACCCTTTGACCAAATTCCCAAATTACCCCCTTGACCAAATTCCCAAAATACCCTTGATTAGGTTACCCAAATTACCCGACCTAATTCCCAAGTTCCCAAAATACCCCTTGGACCAATTACCAAAATACCCCTGACCTAATTCCCAAATTACCCCTCCTTTCAAAATTACCAATGTCCTCTCCATTTTCTAAATTACCAAAATACCCTTTTCCCAAACCCCTAAATTACCAAATTCCCAAATCACTCTTTTCAAAATTACCTAAAATACCCTTACCCAAATATGATCCTAAATGCACCCTTTCAAACCCTAATTGCTGAGTTAACCTAAAAGACCCCATGTACCTTGAGGATTTTGGCAGAAACCACCCTTCCCTCTCCTTCTAAATAGGAAGTACCATTCCCAAGAGAAGGAGAGATCGAAGGGGTTAAATTTGAGAATGGTGGTGGGAGGGAAGTGCAACTCGAGGTTTTATGAAAACCCCTGAGTTAAGTAAGGGTCAAAGGGGGCCTTTTGAGAGGGGTATTGCGAATAGAGGAGAAAATAGAGGTTAGAGAAGTCTAGGAGTTTTGGGGAGAGCGAACAAAGAGAAAGAGAGCGGAGAGAAGAAAGGGAGAAGACTTCTTATCCCTTCAGCCTAGGCCATCGAACGAACCTCCATTCTATGTTCACTGACGTCGATATCCTATTTCCATTCAGCTCCAACATCATTGCCATCCAAGTCGAAGTGAGATTCACACCTCATCTCTTTGCGGTTTCATCCATTTATTTTTCTTTTCTTGAGTTTTTCTCAGACAAGAGTGCTTGCTTGTTCTTGCAATCAAAGGAAGAAATTCAAGGGCTCTCTTTCCTTCCAATTGATCGACTGAGTAAGATTGTGGGGGTCCTGATAGAAAAGGGGTGGGAATGTAGTCTCACCCTTTTGCTCAAACCCCTATACCTAAAAGGAGATTAAATGGGGAGAAAGAGATGCGTAGTTACAGAAGTTCCCTTCCATTGCAGGTGGAAGGCAAATTTCTTCTTCTATCGCCTTCTTTTCATATGTGATTTCAAGGAATGGAATTAATATTTGCACCGATCAGAGAGAGGGGTGCCTAACCCCTTCCCTCTCTCTCTCAGCTTACCTACATCTTCGTTGACAAGGTCTGGAGTCTTTTTTTTTTGGGTTTAATTGCAATTATTCAGGAGACCTTCACTCCCTACTTTGTGATTTTGGTGGGTGGCGACTCTAAACAATCAGCCAAGAAGTGAACTACCAATTTTTTCCGATGTTCAAGGTAGAAAAACAATTTGTATTGATCAACTTAAAACATTTCATATAAAAAAAAAACCTCTCTATCACAAATTTGAAAGGGTAAATTACAAAGACCCCCTTATACTATGGGGTTTGTGACAAAAATCCCCTTGTACTTTGTTTTGCAACAAAGACCCCCCCCGGTACTATGACCGTGAGATAAAGACCCCCTTCGGTTAGTTTTCCATTGAAATTCGCATTGCAATATTTTTTAATCTCCATACTACCCTTATAATAAAGACAATTGGGAGAAAAACACTTCACCTTCTCCGACCTCACCATACCGAACAGCAGCTCTAAACAGCTCCTCCATGGCTGGAGCCTGGAGGGTGTTTGCTATTACCCGAGAAATGACTGATGGGTTTGCACCCGCCTTTGCGCAGACTAATAATCTTCGTGAGCTTAATTTAAATGAAGGATCAAATGACAAAAACAAGAAAAAAACAAATAATACTCTTTTTCTCCGCCTTTCAAACTAATTTCCCACACGATTATTAGAAAAATTCTGTGTTTTTCGCTCACCCATAAATCCCTAATCTATAATTGTTGATAGAAATGTCATGAACATAGATCTAGTTACGATCCTTATCATTATGAGAAACCCACCACATTATTCAACCAAGCAATCTTTCTAAGTTACCGGTGAAGCCAAAGGCCAATTTAAAGAAGCAATTGCCCTGACTACAAGGTTCTCTCCAAAACTAAAACTTGAGTTTCAAACACCCTCCATAGCTGAAGGTTCTGAACAGCTCCTTCACGATACACGACATAGTACAAAGCTTCCCCGACCCACAACCAAAAGCAAGGTTTTTCAGCCGAGCAGCTCCTCCATAGCTCGTCTTCAACGTCGTCGTCTCTGTGGCAAAAAGCCCACTTGTTCTAGACCCATCGGCGTACGAGTAGTCATAGCGGCAAGTACTATGGAGGCGAGTGTGGTTACAGGGCTGGTGTTTCAGAGGGTGAGGGACGAGTTGACACGCTGAGTCGTAACAGTGAACCGGAGCAAATGTGATTGAATGGCGAGCCAAAAAGGCAGAGCCTGAAGGGTGTTTGCTACAGTTCCAGCAAGGAAGAGGCTCTGAGGTGGGGTAATCGCCGAAATACTGGCCGGAGCCTGTCGATGCACTGGAGACAATGGGAGCCTTGAAGGATCTACGGCTACGTAGGGCCGAGAAATGAACAAAGAGACGCTCAGAGTCCAAAGAGATTGTGCTGGGGGGTTATAGTTTCAAGTAAAGCAGCCTGGGCGTTAATGAAAGAGGAGAGAAAGGGAAAGGGAAAGGGGAAGAAGAGAGGAAAGCGGGAAAAAGAAAGGGGAGGAAAGAAGGGGAAGGGGAAGAAGAGAAATCAGGGGAGAGAAATAAATGTGAAGGAATTTGAGGTAAAAGGGATTATCTCCACTGTTGGTGTGTATTGTGAGGAACAAAGTACAAGGGGTCTTTGTCACAGACCCCATAATACAAGGGATGTCTTTGTAATTTACCCAATTTGAAATGATCAACCCAAAACACAAGTTAGTCCCTTGCTGTTACAAGTTGTCTACAGGATTTTGCTTAGTCATCCCCTCCAAATCCTCCCAATGAGGAGAGGATCAGCCATTAGCCCAATGATCTCAGGGGGTTTTTGTCACAAACCCCATAATACAAGGGATGTCTTTGTCATTTACCCAATTTGAAATGATCAACCCAAAACACAAGGTAGTCCCTTGCTGTTACAAGTTGTCTACAGGGTTTTGCTTAGTCATCCCCTCCAGATCCTCCCAATGAGGAGAGGATCAGCCATTAGCCCAATGATCTCATACCAAGTCATTCAGTAGTTGGTAGGTAAAGACATAACTGCAAATACACATGATATCGTTTATTTTTTAATTAATTCATGAAAATTATTTGAGAGAATTAACAAAAATGGGATGATACTTTATCTTAATATAGAGACTGTCATGAAAATTCTTTAATTATTTTATTTATTAAAAGATAAAAGCAATAAGTCATTAAGTTCATCCTCTTCCGTCCGCTGTTAGAGACACTAGGCGTTCACATGTGCAGGTGATGAAATAAGCCACAAGTATCTAACTAATTAAATATTAAATTCATTTTTAGTTCTTGTTTTAGTTTAAATTAGGGCGTGTTGTGTAATGTAGACGAGATATTGCATGGTGTGGGATTCATCTACACCACACCACTGTGGCATGGATGAATCCACACCACACCACATGCTGGAGTTGTTCTGTAGTGTGGGCAAACTGTGTGGTTTGAACCACACCACACCACACCAATAAAGGCACTACCCAAGGTGTGGTTCAATTCAATCCACACCTTATGTTTTGATTCTATGTATCCCACATACAATATACCAAATGGTTTATGCCATTGGTCAAGTATAAATATTAGTATGTTTTATAAATAAGATAAATAGTAAAATAATACAAATTAAACATAATTATTAATAATAAGGGACAATGCATTAATACACATTTATCAATAAAAATAAATTAAAATAAAACATTAATGCATATTCATTAATAAATATAAAAATTATTAAAGTCCTAGTTTTATAGATAAATTAAAAGATCAATAAGAAATTAATATGATTTTTTAATAATATTAAAAATGAATAAAATTATTACTTTTGAAATTAAGTTTTAAGTTTAAAATATTTTTAAAATAATAAAAACTATTAAAATATAAATAACATTCAACGCAAAGAAGGCAATGACAGARAAAGTCAAATAGAAGAAGATACATAGATTATGATGAAACACAGAATCATTCTTTTATTATAAAGGTTAATTGTCCACACCGTGGTGTGGATGGAACCATGAGATAAATCCGTGGATGATATTTTGAAAGATAGACCATTTCAGTCCACAGTATATTGTGTTTGAAAACTTGCAACACCTCAAACGAATACAAGTTTGGGTGTAGCGTGTTTTGAAATGAGCCACCACCTGTCAAATCTATGCTTCAGAACATCCCCTTATTAATGCGTGCTATTCAATATCGGATTGTAATCTGATTTCCATTCAAATTTATCCAAGCTTGATATAAATCCAACGGAGAACATTCAATTCAAATCCAAATATAAATGAATCAAATATGAATCTACTTCTCATCAATTGGATCAGATCTTTTTGTATCCCTAATCTTTAGTTGCAAGTGGAACATAGGATAGAAGAGGAATATGTATCAAATTACCATGTCAAACATTTTCTTAGGCTGACAATTTTGACCCCAACTCACTTGGCCCACCTAACCCACCCATTTGAATAGTGGGTTAATATTAGGTTGAATGACCCATTAGGGTTAGGATGGATTGGGCAATCTCTCTCTCTCTCTCTCTCTCTATCACACACACACACTTAGGTCTCTAGTTTGAAGATTGAAGGCTTGTTCGTTCGAACTAATGCTTGACATTTGAATGCTTCTAAAGTTGTAATAATTTATTTTAAAGGTTGCATTGAGGATGGTGAACTTTTATTGTTCCCGATGTTGTTTTGAAATCTAGGTGTTGAGTTTTGAAAAATGACAATTGACCATTTTAACCCTAGATATGAGATAGTTTGTTTAACTACTTAACAAACTAATTAACGATTGACTAAATGAATATAAAATAATTAATAAATGATTTAATTAATAGAAGCTATAAATTATTAAATATTTTTAAGGAATTGAACATTAATTCATTAATATCTATTTCAAATATATAATTACATAATTATTTATTAAATAATTAGATAATAAGTAATAATTTATAAAGTAAAATAATTTTTAATTATCATTATAATTAATTAAAAACGATTGCATAATTGTTTAGAAATAATTAATATTATTAATTCATTAATAATTATATAATAATAAAAATAATTATTATTCTTATTATTATTTATTTTTATAGGGACATTATAGCATATGTAAAAGAAGTAATAACCTTTTAGGGGTATTTTTAGATAACAAAAATGAGCATTATTGATGTGAAGTATATTAAGGCTGAAGATAAAATAGGAACCGAATGCTCTTATTGCCTTCAAAGGTATTAAGAAATAAGAGATAAGAGGCATTAAGAGCACAAGATCTGAATCTATAAATACATTGGATCTAAAATTTAATAGATTTCTAATGTTTTGAAATATTTGAAATGCCTTAGAATTTTTTACAATTTGAATCTGAACGTATACTTTTATATCCAGAGGACTACAATTTATTAGAAATTATTTTTGTAAATTTTATCTGATTTTCTGAAATATTTTTGAAAATTTGTCACATTCTTTGTTAGATGCAATGTCTGATTTTTTTGAAGTTTGGGGTCATGTTTGAATGGGCATTCTGGTGACCACAACTTTCTTAAATAGAAGAGACAAGGATTTGAGGCTGTTAATTTTTTGTCAATGTTTGGCTTGTTGATAAAGAAAATTAGATGACACTTGAAGGGCATTTGTGTCTTTTCAAATGCCACTTAACGATTGGTTAATAGCTGATTAACGGTAGGCACTGTATTGTCATGTTTTGAAAGTTCGGGAACCAAAGTGGCAGTAGACCCAATCCCCTTTTTTCCTCGGGGATAAAGTGTTTTCCAAGCGCAGGAAACTTAAAAACAGCGACAGTTTTGTAAAAGTAGCCAAAGATCTTCCGAAGTGGAAGTTTGATAAATTTCAAATAGATTCTTAATTCTCCATTAACAGAAAGGTACATGGGATCTCCACCTCTAGAAGGTCCAACAGCAATTTAAAGTGAAGAATTCAAAAGCTCTCTATAAAACATGCATTCAGAGCTCTTGAGATCCAGAAGGTATAGATTCATCAAAGGGCTTAAGCTTTTAGGTTAGAACAGTTATTTGAGATGGTAACAGTTGCTATTTAAAATTAAATTTCAACACAAGATTTGAATGGGGGCCTAGCTTAGCCACGCTTCAAGGTTGAATGGTTCTTTGAGACTACTCATCGCCATCTGCTAAAATCTTTCCACAAAACTTTTTATCAAGCAATTCATTTCTTATTTGATCAAGCACATTAAATAAATTTGAAAAGTATGATTTCCTCAAAACATATACAGCTTTCAAAAATGCCACAGAGTTTCTCCATTAATGGAGCTTACAAGCTTGGTTTAATAGAATTAGAAGTCCATGTTCACAATCAGAAATTACCAGTCTTTGCACAAGAGTTCAAAACTAATGAATTGCATATGCAACAATGGAATCGATAAAAACAATTATTTTCTGAAACCCAACCTTAGGATCCATATTTGAAACATATGATTCAACCCACGAAGGCAAATCCACCAAATGAGACAGGTAAATCGATTCTGAGAAAGAAATCAGTACAAAAAGAAATCATATTCTTCGTTTTTTTTTTTTTTTGATAATTTTGCATTCATCATTAAGTCTTAGTAGATCACCCATTTATAGAAAGAACCAGCTGCACCAGATTCAAAACACAGAAACTACTTAGACCCACATATCCATTAATTTCATGGATTGAATCAAATTGTACTTTCTCTTCGGCTCCATGAAAACACAATGATAAGACAAGAAGGAAAAACAGCCCTCATGTTTTAAATTCTTAATACTCTCTCCCTTCATCAATTCTTGTTTGTGTGAGATCTTCAAAGCTCCAATCTCTTCTCATACCACCACTTCGCAACAGTCTTGGTTCCCCGGTCCCGGTCTCCATGCCGAATGCAACTGCACCGGTGCTGTGGATGCGGCGGTGACCCTTCTTCCGATTGTTCTTCATCTCCGTCGGCGACTCACTTCTCATTATTTTATTGTAGGGAGGTGGTGTGAGGCTCCCCGACCAGCTCCGCTCAACCCCAATACAACATAGTCTGAAACGAGGCTTAACCTGTTCATGGACGAACTCTGAGTCAGGTTCGGTCATTGTGGACCCCTCGCCGGATAGACAACAGAGGCTCATCGTAATATGAAGAACAGCCGACTGATATGAAACTGAAAGAAGTGATTTGATTTACGAGAAGGATCGACGATCTAGAGGGAATTACAATCAAGACAGATGTTTTATATGTTCATGGAACCAAGATCGGAAGGGAGAAGGAAAGGGAGAGGGAGATGGATGTCTGTCGACATGGTAAAGGTAGTGGGAATGGGGTGGCGGATCGGGGTGGTGGCCGGTGACTGGTGGCTGGTGGCTGGTGGCTGATGGCTGATGGCTGATGGCTGGTGCAACTCTCCCTCTTCCTTGGAAATTTGGAATCCGGAGCTCTCC